TCAAAAAGGGGGAGCAGGCTTCTGCTATTTGATGCAGAATTGTAGAGAAGATGGAGCTAGACTTTTCTCAGAGATGTTCAGCAAAAAGATGAGATGCAATGTCATCTCATCTCACAAGTTGCAGCAAAGCAAATTCTGGTTGGACTCAAGGCAAAAAGATTCTTTACCATGGCAGTGGTTAAGCACTGAAGAAGGTTGACTGCAGAGGGTGTGTAATCTCTGCTGTTTGAGATTTTCAGAACTGAACTGAACAAAGCCGTGAGCAGTCTGATCTAACTTTGAAGTTAATCCCGCTTTGAGCGGAAGTTGGACTTGAGGCCTCTTCTGACCTTACTTTTTCCTGGGATTCTATTCTGTTTTCTCACTTCTGACAGCCTAACAGTTTGCCATTTAAACTTGGACAAAGCTGAGGTTTCACTGTAAGCGTGTTTCCCTTCAAATCCCCTGTGTGATAAAGGGCAGGGGGAGACATAAGTTCTAGTGTAAATTTTGGGAGTATTCTCAAGAAGTTAGTTGGAAGAGATCTTTGGATGGATTAAGCTGTTCCATCAGTGAAAGCGGCAGAGAGTGCCTTTGGAGGTCTGTAAAGTTCCCCCATTAGGTTTTTCAAAAGGGGAGGAAAACTTCTGAAAGCATTTTGAACTGAGCTTCTGGTGTTTTTGTGTTCCTGTCCTTCAGTGAAAAGTTGATAGCCAACTTTTAGTTGAAGCTGTTACTTCAAGTCCTTGTAAGTGAATATTCTACTATTATCCATGTATCTGAATTTTCTAGCTGGGACATAAAATCAGCGCATTGCAAACACCTTTCATGCTGCCTTGTTTTATAATTGGAGATTCAGAGAGGCTTTTCTTCACCTATAATCAGATTTTAATAGAGAGCATTTAAGTAGATATGTGCTAAGTGCTGGCTTTGTTTTGTGTGTTGAACTGGTTGTTAATGTTACTAAATGGTTGGTGCCCTAGGTCCTTGATCTGCATAGAAAAACAATTACTGATGCGGTTTATGCCAGACTTAACCTTAAATGTTTAACTAAGTAAACTCAATGTATTCTAAAAAGTCATTAAGAGATGATCTTGTCTTTCCTTTTGGAAGGGCATTCTTTTCCCCAGCTTTGCACAAACAGCTGCACAATTGCTAGTGAACTTATAGGTTCACCTTCCCTACAGAAAATGATCTTCTTTCAGGAGGAGTGTGGCCTTTGGCTGAAGGTATATTTTATTCAGAAGTTGATGTGATTCTTTGTCTCCGGCTTAATCCTCCAAAGTATTCTCATAACTGCTAATCTTGTTGCTGTTCTGCTAGACTCAAAGAGGGCAGAAGTCCCGTAAAACTTCCTGGGAGAACTGCTCTGTCACTGTGCTTTTTGTCTAATATTAATAAGACTTTATTCTTGAGGACATAAAGGAAAATCATGTTCTACTTTGGCAGTCTATATGGGCTCTTACAGAGTATGACGAGGAGGGAATGTTTTAAAGAATATCTTTATTAGCCATTTAGTAGTCTCTACTTCGGTCTACCAAGTTACTGGTCACTTTGCTGTCACTAAAGTCAGTATTGAGAATTGTGATTTGACTATAAGACCACTAATACATAGGATTATAACATTCAATGTAACGACATTAGCAGATATTATTCGAAATGTAGTAATTTCTGAAACTGTAGATAGAGCGCTCCATTCTTTCATTGCCCTGGATTTTTGCTTTCTGTGCTGTTTCATGCCTTGATGTGTTAGCAGGAGACCTTAGTGGCAGACCTCTTCATCTTATGCAGTTGACATAATTAGCTGATCTTCACCAAAGTTTGTTTTTGTTTTTTTGTTAATTGGAGAGGACTTGAGAAACTTTACCTTATATTCATACTTACCTTTCTTCTCTCTTACGAAGATGCGAATCGGGATTGGAGCTTGCTGCTATAGCTCGAGTATATATAACCCCTTTGCGGAGGTTGTGAATCCTTGGATTCTACATCATGTATTCATTCACTTTTTGGACACCACCATATGGAGAAGATGCATTTCTTGTACAAAATGTGGTCTGTCATGGCTGACCAGTCTGTCCAGTCTGTCAAAAATGAGAGCTCAACTACTCACGTAAGTCAGCATCTCTCCCTGGCTTAGCAGAATAAAGTACTTCAAGTGGAAGAGCAAGAAATTCCATTTTTGGATTGCTCATCTGCTTAAGACAAAAATAAACATCCACAGGATTAAACATCCTAAGCTTGAAGGAAAGCAGTATCTTGTTTAGATATCTTTGACAACCTTATCTAGGATGCTAGATGTGTGGCACATTGCTGTCTAGATGGGATTTAATCTCTCTAAATGAAATGGATTGATTTGTCTTCCTTCACTGCTTCTTTATGTCTTGGCTTGGGAGTAGGGAGGGCTGGATGACTACTGTGTTTTTTTTTTTTTTTAGAGTATTCAGTCTGTTTTACAGTGGTTTTCCATACATATAGAACAGCTGGATATTTAGCTCTGCTTACTGCAGAACTTAGGAATACTTGCTTTTCTTTCAGTCTTCTGTTTTACAGTGGTTTTCCATACATATAGAACAGCTGGATATTTAGCTCTGCTTACTGCAGAACTTAGGAATACTTGCTTTTCTTTTATTTTCGCAGGTAAGGATATTTTGGCTTTGATTCCAACTAAAACATTCTGATGTTAAAATTCAACTTTGCATGCTGTTGACAGTTTCTTAGTTGCTAGTATTCAACTGCGGTCTTTTTGGAGCATCTTTACTTGCAGACCTCATGCTAGGTGCTCCCCTATAAACAAGTTTTCATCATCTTTTAGGGGAGCTTAAACTCAGCAGCGTTTTTTCTTTAAGTTCATAGTCTAGTAGGAATTTACTCCATAGCCAGTTTAGGAAATCGCAGTAAGATCTGTGGGGGTATTTTGTGTATGTGGAAGCCAATGAGGCAAACAATTACAAATGTGAGACAGGAATTTTGCTGGACTGTCCTAATTTCATAGCACTTCTGTATTTTTGAAGAAATAATGATTCAGTGTAGTTTTTTAATATGAACTTGATATCTTTATTATGTGCTATCCTAGGAGTTAGCTTGTTGGTCGTTCTCCCTTATTTACCATTTAACGCGTGTCAAACATCAGTTTGAGTGTGTTTTCAGATGGTGATTACATGACTGTTGTACAGTTGGCTGCTTATATTTGCACGTCCCAGTCCTGATGTATCTGCGAAGACCATGTGTTATTTAAGTGCCGGTTGTTTTATAAGTGGTGGGAAGCAGTGAGACTCAGATAAGAATATGCGTAGAGCTTAACTAGATTAGCTAAGTATGCTGCTTCCCTGACATACTTTCCAGAGTCACGTGATAATGTTTATGCTCTTAGTGTATCGTGATCTGGGTAATTATTTTGGAACATATTCTGTATTGACGTAGTTCCACCAGTGATTTGTCCTGAAATTCAGCAAATAAAGGGAGAAGAGAAGTTGTATCACGAAACTTACGTAACGGAAAACAATATTAAATGGTAAAGTTGTCACAGATAAGAGTGAGGGTTTAACTTGTATTAAAACAGTTAATAATGCAAAATTTCAGTGGTAAGTATCCATAGCTAAGCTATGGTGGACTTTGTTTAGAAGTTCAACTTGCTACCTGTTCTGAAAAACATAAATAAATGTAAAACTAACATACTTGATGTACAACATGCTTCAGAAGCCAGTGACGCTAGTTGTTGGGTTTTTCCATTAGCCTTCCTCTGTTGAAGTTTTTATACTGCTTTGAAGCCAGAACCTTCAGTAATGTGAGGACATAAAGCCCTGATCTCAGAGACCAGGGAACGTACAGAATCAGTTCTAGTTAAACACTTGAAGTTAGAATACTGTTTTTATTGCTTTGACTTTCAGCCGTGTATCTACTGTCGGTGGTGGGGCAGGGGAGAAGAATTCTGAGATGTTCTTGTTGCCTGGCTTGCAATATAAAACCTTGACAATATAGAACATGAAATGCAGAATAAATTCTTCTTCTGACAATCTGCCCTTCTGCCCTTGGAAGGGAGCTGCTCTCTAGAAGATATGTTCCAAGTGTTCTGTTTTGTGCATTTTCAAAGGGCTTTGGTGGGGGTGAGCAAGGAAACTGCAGGGATTCTGTAGAGAAGTAGGAGTTGGTGCTGCAGCTTGAAATTCTCCTGGTTTGTTTTTCTGAGGAGGCACATAACTTGAAGTAAGAGGCTAAACTAATAGCCGTGTCCTAAAGTACTAAAATAACTTGCACAAATAAAACAGTAAGTCACTTACCACATAGCTTGTCAGTATTTGATGTCCAGTGCTTTCTTGTCATGACTTAAAGTACAACAAATCAGGATAAACTCATTTGCACAACACAAGGTGAGGAAACAAAGCTGATTAGGTACTCACTAAATTAAGTTTTGTTTACGCCTTAAGTCATGTCTCAATCTGCTGGTGTAAGTGGTGTTAGAATATAACTTCCTGTGTCCTGATTTGATTGAATATCTTCAGACTTTTCTTTCCATCATATTATAGAATTGGCAGATGCTGTTTATAAAATAGAATGGACAATTTCCTAATTGGGTTTTGGATTATGAATATTCATACTTTCTAGTAGCTATGACGCTGACTTATTTCTATGTGGTGTTTCTCAGCGTGTAAAACCTGAATGCATATAAAAACAGATAAGGTAACTCAGAGTAGCCAGATGAAAGTTAGGAGAAGGAAAGCAAGTGAACATGGGCTTTTTCACAAGCTCTAACAATTCTTTTATGAGAGTTCACTTGGGCAATCACTACATTTGAGATGCAATGTGGAAGAAGAAACTTAAATTGTCACTGTGAGTTCTTAAAGTTGTACAGGAAGAGGGAAAGGAAATACAGCAACTTAATTTTCACTTTTCGTAGGTAATGACAATGTTTAATGACTTAAAATGCTTGGATAGAATGTTCTTCATCATAATTAAGATATTGGATTGTTTTAAGCTCTTACTGATATGATAACTAGCTAAAAATAGCTTACTAGATTCTGTTTATGTTGAAGGGTGAAGATGTCAACCGGACACTCGAAGGTGGGAGGAAGCCTCTACACTATGCAGCAGACTGTGGACAACTTGAAATTCTGGAATTTCTGCTATTAAAAGGAGCTGATATTAATGTATGTACTTCAATTTGCAAACAGATGTTAGCATCTCTTTAATTCTTTCATGCAAGAGATTGATATAAATGACTAAACGGTTACTGAAAGACTGAGGTCATACTAAACTGTTTGATGTAGTTAAGAATATCGAAGTGTTCTACTACAGGTTAAACATTGTTATGGCTTTGGACATGTTATGAAAAGTTGTTAATGTCCTAAAAAATTAAGATTTAATTTGACTATATAAAAAAAATCTGCAATCACCTAAATAAAGATGACATGAAACACTTTAAATTTGTTGGAAGGGACATCAGAAGATATGATGTGTCCTTTGCCAGAGCACGATCAACTTTATTTAAACTGGGTGTAATTTTCTTTTTTGCAGGAGAGTCTTACTTGCAGAAACTTACTCAATCTGCTGTAACTTGCCATTCATGATTTCTGTCATGAAAAGATTTGGCTGGGCTATAGTTGATGCTCCTGAACAACGTGGCCCTGAGTGAAGTTTCTCATTCCTTTAATCATAAACACCAAACACTATGCTTTAGAATAGCTGCCTGAAAACTAATGTATAGATCAACTTTAATCCTTGACAAAATAGCTTGGAATTTTTTCCTTGCGTTCTGGAAAGATTAACACTTCCTCAGTAGTCCTCCTAATTCAGTGCAAAATGGGGAGGGGAAGTAAGAACACTTCAGTTACTCTATTTCTTATCCTTCTTCTTTCCCAGGACTGTAGTTTAGAAAGGAACAGAAAGCCCAAAGAACCTTTTCCGCCAAAACATTCTGTATCTGAAACTAAATTGTCTGAGAAATGGGAGAATCAGATATACCATTTTTAATCAGGCAAAATTTGTCAGCTAGTTCTGTCACTGACTTTGCCTTTTTAAAAAAAAAAAACAAAAAAACAAAAAACAAGTTTGGGGATACCTGGAAGTCTTACAGAAGGAACAGCTTGTCACTCAAACTAGTTTTGAAATCATTTTTTCCACTTTGCTCTCATATGAGAGAAGTAAAAATTCTAAGGGAATGCAATTCTTGGAGGGGGAAATCCTTACGTTCACTCTGCTGTTGACAAAACAGAATTAAAAAGTTAAGTGCAACCTTTTAATGCTGTGTGAAATTGTCCTTCAAATAACTGTGTCCCAATTTACAGGCTCCAGACAAACATAATATCACACCACTCCTATCAGCAGTCTACGAGGGCCATGTTTCCTGTGTAAAATTGCTTCTGTCGAAGGTGAGATACAGATGTTCAGAACAAATTGCCTGTTAGTGAAATGTATTACTATAATTTGTTTTTTAATAAGATTATGCTGCCCCAAGTGGGTTCAAAACATCAAAAAAAAGGCTATTTATGTTGCTAAACCAGTGAGGGCCCTCTCCCTATAGGGAAAGTAGCTGAAGTTCTAGGACTTGTGCAGTACAGCAAAAGTAACTGTGAACCACGAAGACAATACTCAAGGCTCTTTGGAATTGGTATTCTGAGCTCTGCAGAATCAACAGGAAATCAGCCAAGAAGAGTGCATTCTTACAGCAGACAGGGAGGAGTGGGACTTAGCTTTGGCAGCTACTTAAGTTGTCTCACATCATGGGATCACCCTGTGAAGTTACTCAGAGGTGTGGTTTCCCTGTGCTTGTGCCAGATGACTGAAAACCCATCTGGGTTGGGGAGGGGAGAAATAAAAGCAGGAAGAAGACAAAGTTTCTCTGCTATAGAGTTTATAAATTTTGTGCTGGGCAGAATAAGCTTAATCTGTTTTTGGTCTCTCTTTTGATTCATATTGCCAAGGTGGTGTGTTTTGCAAAGCACTAGTTAATTCAAGCAGTGTTTTGTCCGCATTCTTATGTGTGCTTTCCTGCCAGAGCTCATTGTCCTTGAAAAAAGGAGGTTAACAGCAGTGCATTTGCTGTATATGAGCCTACTTAAATTATTTGGTCAAAAGAGCATAGATTTCTTTCATGTTTTGTGTAATGTTTTCATATGTGGGCTTCCAAGGTAAAATGGCCCTTCCTTAAGACTGACTTGCGCTGTACAACTTGCGCTGTATGTTTCTTCACTTCTGTGACCTTGTATAATATGCTCTCTATGAAGAGATGTTATGACTTCTAATTTCAGGAAGCTTCAAATGATACATCTGACTTGTCCACATTTGTTGAGAGGACTGATCCTTTACTTTAGGACCAAAAAAAAAAAACCCAATGTATGGATACAATCACTAATTTGATAATTAGAATTCTAAATTGATCACTTATCTTCATGGAGTATGTGAAATTTAGTGTGTATTTCCTGGGTAAAGTATATAATTAACTAGATAAGAAAGCAGATGTATTTAGAAGTTTTCTGAGCTGTTTGCAGTTGAGATGTTACACTCAGATGCAGACTTTTGTCCTCGGAGCACCTGTCTTGTTCCTAACAGCGTTTCTGATGCAAGCCTGGTTTTGGGAATTTAGCTTCTTCAGAAGCAGACTCATAAGTTTTCTTACTATTCAGTATTTTGATGATTGACTTTTCCTTGATGTTGGGTTTATTGCTAGCTCAGAAGACTTGATTTAAAAAGGGTGGGGGGAAGGGGAAAAAAAAGAAAAGAGAGACTTAAAACCAAGACGTCTTTTGAGAGTGTTCCTTTTTAGGTATTAAATGATGGATCCTTCTAATGATAGCTCACGTGGGGGAACCTGTTGCAAGGGAAGTGTGTGTTCTGTGTAGATTCTCATTAGAAACAGTGTAACTGCATTTATAAGATATTGAACTGTACAGTCCTGGAGGACCTCAGCTGGTTTTGAATATATTGGTGCAGGCTCTACGACAGTCTTAACGTACTTAAGGTACTTGTGAGTAATAGAATTTTCTGTAGATGGTATTAGTAGCGGAAGCCATTGTGTCAGAATCTAGGACCTGAATGAAAGCTGTTTTTATTTCAAAACTGTCTTCTGCCTAAATAAGCAGAAGTTAGTTAGCAATGACTTCAAATTCCATAAAACTATATACATTTTTAAGGACGTGCAAGTAACATTAACTGCATTTTCCTTTCTTACGGAAAACTCAACTGACTCTTAACTGATGCACTACACTTAGAAACACAATAGGAGGAACAAAACTGAAAATGTTGCTTTTATTAGTCCTAAGCTAGTAGCTGTTTGTATTCTCATATCTTCTGAGGAGTGATAGAAAACCTACTCTAACTTTTAAGTAGCCCTTCCCGCCATTCTTGTTATGGCCCAACCACATCATCAGAATCGAATGATTTCACAGCTTCTGAGGAAACAGGCTTCCTCTTGAGAACTGCCTACACAGGCCTTTTTATGTGCAGGCAGTGGAGGGAGAGAGAGACTTGAGATTCTCAAGAGCTTCCCAAGACATGGGTCTGACAGTACCCTAGCAGAGTAATGCTTCGGACAAGTCCTGTATCTAAGAAGCAGGACTTCCCTACTCTGTTCTGCAGTATTTGTAAAAATACGTAGGGGGAAAGTGTAGATAAATCAGTTGATCTACATCTTGCATGCAGATTAAATCTTTTTTTTTTTTTCCGAGAGTTTAAAGGGACCTCAAGAAATTATCTTCAAGTCAATTTTAAGAATGCATAGTTGCAATTGACGTTTATCTAACCTGTTGTTGAAGACCTTGAGTCGATTAGTTTCAATGTCTGCAATCTCTCAATTTAGTTAACTTTTTCCTCATGCTGGAGTTCAAGTTCCTGGAATTCAACTACAAGCTCTTTATCAAGTCTGAGCATCACCACTCTTACCAAAACATTACTTGTGGCTAGATTTTGTCAGCTTCTGGAATGTTGCTGGGAGAGGGGGGACAGGTTGCATACCCTGTTTCTCAGTCTTACGATTTTCAGTGGCTTGAATATATTCTAAGCTCCTTTCTAAAAATAAAAAGGTCTTACTATCAACCTAACTCTTAACTTGAGTGAGGTTGTTTTGGGTTGACGTAACTTTAATGTGTTGATTTCTATGTTGAAGCAAAGATAGGAAAAACGTTATGTGATTTATAAATGGTACTTTCCTTGGGCAGTCTTTAGTATTCTATTCTAGTGTTAAAGCAATTTTTGAGGCTGTAGTTTAAGAAAAACACATTCAGTGGTATGAGCAATCTCACCAGTCCTCTAAATGGACCAAAAACATTTTGTGTGATAGTGCTTTGAAATGGATGAGGAATCTGGATGGGCATTACATAAAGCAACTGAGCCTGACTGGCCTTGCCAGAATTGATGTAGGTCTGTGGAGAGAGGGGAGAACAGGACTATTTAAGCAGGCATTGCCACTGAAGGCTTTGTAACATGCAATCAAGGCTTCTTTCACTGCGTCTCTCATGCTTAAATCTGCCCAACCAGATATTGAGTTATCTTCGAAAGTTTAATTTGTGATGTTCTGCTGAAGCCTCAATGGCATAAGAGTGAAGGAGCGTGTCTACTCAGTCTGTCTTGCCATGCTGTCCCTTCAGTGTGCGTGATGGGTACCCACCAGCATTAGCTGCAGAAGCTGAGGCGGCAAGCTAGTGTGAAGACTAGTTGCCAGCAGAATGGATGCTTCTGTTCTGTCTTGTAATACTCTTACCTGCATAGTCTAATGCTTCCTTACGCTGCCCTGACATTCATTGGATCCTACTGCAATTTAAATTTCTGCAGTTAGTTTCCTGCCAATTGAAGTCTCTGAACTAAAGTTTTCTTGCTGGTTTAGTTCCTTGCAGTTGTTTATTGTGTAACTAGAGAAACACTGGTGCCAATTCAAGAGGTGAAACAAGAGCAGGGGAGCAGCTTCGTGAGCGGCTGGCTGTTAAGTAAATTTAGCTATAATGGGTCCACAGAACAACTCTCAGTATGAGTGCCTTTAGTTTTACTTCAGCTGCTGCTTTGGGAAAATTTTCAGTATTCTTGAAGTGTGACATGCTTATTTCAGAGGGTGGTTTCCTGGGTTTGAGTATAGCTTTTGCAGGTGTGCGTTAGAACCCACTTTGTTGTACTACTTGCTCAGTCTCTACATTGCTTGTTTGTAAATTGTAGGTGAGTCGTTCATTGCCATGTACTAAATGCTTGCTCAGCTGACTGTTGTGGCCCTGTTTTTGTAGGGGAAGGATGAATTTTAGCTGAGGCTAGAGAGTAAGAGACAAAGGATGTGAAGGATGAAGCTGAAGCCCTTTTAGGTACCCCCGTAGTAAGTCTCTTATACCTACACTTGTCTTATACTATCAGTTATAAAAGCACATACGGTCTCTTTCTCCCCTTCCCCATGCTTTGTCATTTTTATTCTTGAAAAACGAGGAAAAATTTTTGCAAGCCTCTTAGTCACCATCAGTTTGAAAGTCCACTTCAATTTTATTAGTTTTAATAATCTCTGTGATCACTGCTTACTGTAGTATGCCCTTGTCTGGGGGAGTAAATACATCCTTACAACTTCTATTTTAACCTGCAGCATTTATTAACTTTCTCTTATCTAGCCTGCGCATAGGTTTTGCCTTGCCTGTACTCCTTCCTTGTTTTTCCACGAGTCTACATACTTTGGTGCAAAATAAAATTTCTGGAAGTCTAAGTTTTAGTAGCAGTTTATGTTGGAACAGTTCTCTTTGGAAGCACCTGTTCTCAGTAAATCACGTTGCTGCTTGACTGCAGGTTTCATTGTATGGGAAATTTACTTGTAACTCAATATTTGCATTTTCTAATAGCAAGAAATCTTCTCATGCCTTTCAGCAATGAAGATGATAATGCTAAGAATTTCTACAAAGAAACATGCTAGGTAGAATAATCCCAAAAACCACTGATTTGGGATGATGCAACCATTTTGACTTTTATATGGAAAGTAACTCTCAGCTGTAGTTGTAGGGCAGATGATAACATGGAAATTGTCAGCAGTAGAGAACTGAAATGAAATTGAGGCTTAAAAAAGGAGCTGCAACTGTGCATGCTCAATGAGAAGGGGTTTCACTGGAAGAAAGTTGGGAGTGTTACACCTACTAAAAAGAAAATATCTTACTGCTACGTCTCTTCTAGTGCAATTTCAGGTAATTGGGGCTGATCGTTTCTGGAGAGGTTTAGACTTCATAGATCTTATTTTCTACTTCTCCCCTTTTTCCTCACTGAACAAGCTATTAAATTCTGTCTTGCATCAACCACAGCTCCAAATTATGACATGTTTGCCTTTTCTAACCTAGCTGGAGGTCCTGTAGCATTGGCTACATATTAAAACTGGGGCAATATTAAAGCTATAAGGGAGCTCTTCTTAATCTGGTGTGTG